TCTTTCTTTCTTTCTTTCTTTCTTTCTTTCTTTCTTTCTTTCTTTCTTTCTTTCTTTCTTTCTCTCTTTCTTCCTTTCTCTCTCATTCTCCCTCCCTTTTTTCTTTCTCTTCCTCCCTACCTCTTTCTTTTTTTCTCTTTCTCCCTCCTTTTTTCTTTCTGTTCCTTCCTGCCTTCTTTCCCTCTTTCATTCTTTCTTTCTTCCTTTCTCTCTCTTCCTCCCTTCTTTTTTCTTTCTCTTCCTTCCTTCCTCCTTTCCCTCTTTTTTCTTCCTTTCTCTCTTTCTCCTTCCCTTCTTTTTCTTTCTCTTCCTTCCTCTTCCTATCTTCCTTCCTTTCTTTTTCTCTCTCTTTTTCTTTCTTTCTTGTTCTTTCTCTTTCCTTCCATCCTCCTTTCCCTCCTCTTTCCTTTCCTTTCCTTTTCTTCCTTCCTTTCTCTCTTTCTTTCTCCCTGCCTCCCTCCTTCTTTCTTTCTTTTTCTTTCTCTCCTTCCTTCCTTTTTCCTTTCCCTCTTTCTTTCTTTTATTTTCTTTTTCTCTTTTCTTCCTTCATTCTTTTCCCTCCCTCCCTCCCTCTTTCTCTCCAGGCTGTAACTGGCTGTCGGCTAGCACAAATCCTAACCCACTATTGTGTCTGCGCAAACTACTTTTGGCTACTAGTAGAAGGCCTCTACCTGCACAACCTTCTCGGACCTATGGCCTTCTTGGAAGAAAGTTACCTCCCTGCATACCTGCTCCTAGGATGGGGTGAGTCACTTAGTTGGTATTACATTTCAGAAGGAAACTGAAGTGAAATTTTTAATTGGTGTTATTTATTTGTCTTCATACCCTGAGGTTTAATATGCCGGCCTACCCAGAAGTGGTGGGCAATTAGCAATTAAAGAACCGTGGAAGCATGTCATGATATTAAACAATCCTGGCTATAGGAACCTTCTATGGATAGTCCTTGACTTATGACCTCAATTGGGCCGAGAATTTGGGGAGCTGAAGTTTACAGATCTTAAAGTTGCCAAGCTGGGAAACCCCCTGTCTTAGGTATTTTTATGGAAGGAAAGTTATAAAAAGTCATCTTATCCCAAATGAAAGTTATAAACGGTCTTATCTTACCCCGGAGAAGATGCAGTCAATAGTTCTACCTGTAAGACAGGTGCAAGCTGCAGCTACCTGGATTTCCTTAAAATCGAAGGAAGAACATCCTGACCTGTGAACGTTTTCTCTTTCTCTAGGGACACCTCTCTTTTTTGTCATCCCGTGGGGGATCATGAGATACCTCGATGAAAACAATGAGTAAGTTTAGCTGGAATAAACCTTCCGTTGCATCTTATTATGCGAACTACAAATAGACGAACATAAATAAATATCCATGATTAGGATTATGCATCAATCCAGAACAAACAGGAAAAAAGTAACTTGGAGCATGCAAGTTACAGAGAACTTTTCATTCACGCTTTAAACCAGGGGATGTCCAGTTTTGGCCACTTTAAAATTTGGGAATTGTAGTCCACGAATCTGAAAGTCACTAAACCAGAGGCCTCCAAACTCGGCAACTTTAAGATTTGTGGACTTCAACTCCCAGAATGCTATGCTGGCTGGAGAATTCTGGGAGTTGAAGTCTGCAAGTCTTAAAGTTGACAAGTTTGGGGACCCCAGCACTAAATGAATGTTAGTCAGTCAAGCACTACCTTGTATTTTCAATTTGGGAACCAATCCTGTTCAACCCAGCAGGTTTATTACGGTTAAAAACCCACAGGTTCCCTCAGTGAGTCAGTGACCTGTTAGGGCCAGTTAATTAATGACTCGATTTAATCTGCTTAAATGCACATCCCAGAATAACCAATTGTTCTAAAGGGGAGAGGGAGGAAGGAGCCGAGTGTTATTTTTAGCTTCGCCGTGTGTGGTTTTCACGGAACAAAGTGCCTCTTTTGAATTGCCAAATTAAAGATTTCTCAGTAGACTTATTGCTGCTTGGAAGTTCCTTCATTTTAAGTCCTGCCAGGTTTACTAAAAATATCTCATTTACAAAAGAAAAAAGAAAAAGAAAAGCAGATTATTCCTGTAACATAAATAGCCTTCTTCCTTCTAAATTGTGGAGTTGTTATTGTTATTGTTATTGTTAATTTTTAGGTGCTGGGAGAGAAATGACAACCTGGGCTACTGGTGGATCATCCGTTGCCCAATTTTGGTATCAATTTTGGTAAGTCCCAAAAGAGCCAAAAGCTCTTGTGTTTTCTTGCAAGACCAGTTCCATCCTGGCCGGTAAGATTTTAATACCAGTAGTCCTTGACTTAAGACAGTTCCAGTGGTGGGATTCAAATTTGTTTACGACTGGTTCTGTGGGCATAGCTTGTTGGGTGTGGCTTGTCACCCTTGAGCCTGATTTCCCACCCCTACCCCCTGCGTGTATCGTAATTCCTATTCTCCAACGGGACACCTCCATAGCCAAGAGTCATCAATCATGCTCTCCAGTTAGAATTTTGTGCGGCAGAAACCTCAGTCACCTAGTTACCATCTTTGAAAAACTATTTATGGAATGCACTTTCAATTTCCAAGCTGCCGCACTGCTCCCCTTTCCCTTTCTGTTGGCAACTCTAAAAAGAGCATAGAGATATTTTATGAGTTGACATTTGGCTCCCCTCACTTTTTAAAGGTGACCTTGTGTACAACACACACACACACAAAAACAATTTATTGCAGGGTTGCGAATACCCCCCACCCCACCCCACCCCGCAGGCTTGGTTGGGTTTTCTGCATGGAACCTTGTCACAAGGTGATCACTGAACAACTGTCTCGCTTAACAACAGACATGTTGGGCTCCATTGCAGTCGTAAGTCACCAGTACAAACTGCCAAGAAACCCTGAGCTGGTTTTCTGCATGATAAGTAGGTGACAGGTGACAGGAGTAGGCTTAACAGGAAGGCAAACACTAAAAACACATTCCTAGATTTATTATACCTGTATATTGGTTTGTTTTCTGCATTCTTGCTTTTTTTTACTAGGTTTTGAAATGAGTCTTTTAAATTCTTGTTTCTACCTGTATGCTTTTCCTTGGGAAAAAACGGAGATGTGGAATTGAGGCTCCTCCCAAGTAAAAAATAATAATATCTTCAACTTCCTTTTCCATCCAGATTTCTGGGGGCTGAAATATAAATGGGATAAATATAAATTTTGCGCCATCTGTCAGAAACCATGTAAAACAGAATTTATTTATCTTAGAAACTTTCAGTTGATGGCTGGGGCATGCTGGGAGCTGAAGTCCACAATTTTAAAGTTGCTGTCTGGGGGATTCTGGGAATTGAAGTCCACACATCTCAAGATTGCCAAGTTCAGATACACTGGTCTAGAAAAAGCAAAAGTCCAGATGTGATGGGTGCCCATAGAATGGAGCTACATTTTGGGAGGTTTTTTTTTTTTAACTATGCCGTGCAACGTTTATAGTAGTTTCTTTTAACATATCATGGGTGCCTCTGTCGAAGTGCTCTAGAGTCTACTGGATGAACGCAGCAAAACTGGGATTATTTGTGAAGATCCAAATTATTTTTTTTTCCCACCCTTAGGTTAACTTCGTGATTTTCATCCGGGTGCTTAAGATCGTGAACTCCAAGCTTCGGGCCCAGCAAATCCATTACACGGATTATAAGTGTAGGTGAGGAATTAACGTCCAGATAAGACGGAGCCATGATGGGGTGGGAAGGCCAGAAGAATTTTTATTTCTGTATGTATTTATTCCCTGCTTTTATTATTTTTAAAAGCAAAGTGGCAAGCGTGCCTAATATACCCTCCAACCTCCTTTTATCCCTCCAACAACAACCCTGTGAGGTGGGTTGGGATGAGAGAGAGAGAGAGAGGGACTGGCCCAAAGTCACCCAGTCGGTTTTCATGCCCAAGGTGGAGCTAGAACTCACCCCCTCCTGGTTTTTACCAGACCTTCACCAGAAGGCCAAGCTGGATCCCATCCCTGGGTTTGGCTTTGGGTGTGAATAGAATAGAATAGAGTAGAGTAGAGTAGAGTAGAGTAGAGTAGAATAAAGTAGAATAGAATAGAAAACAGTAGAATAGAAGAATAGAATAGAATAGAATAAAGTAGAGAAGAATAGAATAGAGAAGAATAGAATAGAGTAGAGTAGAGTAGAGTAGAGTAGAGTAGAGTAGAGTAGAATAGAATAGAATAGAATAAAGTACAGAAGAATAGAATAGAGAAGAACAGAATAGAATAGAGAAGAACAGAATAGAATAGAATAGAATAGAATAGAATAGAATAGAATAGAATAACAAGAGTTAGAAGGGACCTTGAAGATCTTCTAGTCCAACCCCGTTTAGGCAGGCAACCCTACACCACTTCAGACAAATGGTTATCCAACATCTTTTTAAAACCTTCCAGTGTTGGAGCATTTACAACTTCTGGAGGCAAATAGTTCCACTGGTGAATTGTTCTCACTGTCAGGAAATTCCTCCTTATTTCTAAGTTGCTTCTCTCCTTGTTTAGTTCCCATCCATTGCTTCTCGTCCTGCCTTCTTTTGGTGCTTTGGAGACTAGCTTGACTCCCTCTTCTTTGGGGCAGCCCCTCAAATATTGGAATCCTGCTATCATGTCCCGCCTAGGCCTTCTTTTCGTTATACAACACAGTGCGCGTGTGAATGTTGTCTACAGTCCCTTTTGCAGTCAGACGACAAATGCTTAAAACGCAGCACCCACGTTTCCCAGCCGGAACGACAGGTGAGCTACGCTAAGGCCTCTCTCTCCTTCTCCCTGCTCAGGTTGGCCAGGTCGACTCTGACCCTCATCCCGCTGCTGGGCACCCACGGGGTGGCCTTCGCCCTGGTGACAGAGGAGCAGGCCCTGGGCCCCCTGCGCTACGTCAAATTCTTCTTTGAGCTCTTCTTCAACTCCTTCCAGGTGAGGCGGCAATTGGGGAAGCAGCCATAGAGTTTTTGGGATTAATGACAAATAGTCCTCGACCCGCGACCGCAGTCGAGCCACACGAAACTTCTGTCGCTAAGCGAGACATCAGTGGAATGAGTTTTTCCCCGCTTTACGACCTCTCTTGCCGCAGCTGTTCGGTGAAATCACGGCAGTTGTTCGGCTAGAAAAAGGGGATTCATTCAGTGAATCTGGCTGCCCCTTTGACTTCGCTTGTGATCGCGTGATTCTGCGATGGTCATAAAGAGGAGCCGGTCGCCGAGCTCTGAATTTTGATCATGTGACCAACAGTCATAAGTGTGGAAAAAGATCCTAAGTCACTTTTCCCAGTGCTGTTGTAAGTTCAAACAGTCATTAAATGAATGGCTATAAGTCAAGGACTACCTGTCATTAGATTTATACAGCTCTGTAATTAGAAGCACAAGGGAAAACCCAAATGGTGTTTTCTTTAAAGGATAAACTCTCCAGAACCGGGCAACCTCTAAATTTAAAAAAAGAAAACCAACCCCAATTTATCACAGCTGGTGGGCTTTTCTTCCCCAAAGGGGCCTGAAATTGCTTAAAACCAGCCAAATAATTCCATTTTTTTTTCTTGTTTGTTCATTTTCAGGGTTTGTTGGTGAGCACGCTTTACTGCTTTGTCAATAAAGAGGTAAGTCATTCTCCAGCTGAACCTTTTTGCGATGCAGGCATAAGGCTGAGGCCTGGCTGCTCAGGGGTCTCAGAGGGCTGGGAGGGAGGCTTAAAGAATCCCAGAATTGGGCAGGTCTCCCTCGAGGTCATCCAATCCAACCCCACGTCACTTCTGGAACTCAAAGGAAACCAGTCGTCTGTTTATGAAAAACAAGTGGAAATCTTTCGTTTCTCTTCTTTCTCCAGGTCCAGTCCGAGATCCAGAGAAACTGGCGGATGTGCCAGGTGAACATCGGCCTGCTGGAGAGACCGGGATGCCATTTTGGCCCCTGCTGTTCCTGGTGCAACCGAAAAAGCCCGACCAGGAAGCCCAGCTGTGCTCAGATTTACATCCAAGTAGAACCCAATGTTGCCCCGAGGGACTTGGACAGTGGGGTGGGCACTCCGTTCCAGCAGGCGCCCGCAAACTACAACTCCCATTGGTACATCCCCGTCAGGATGAAAGCGGAGAACTAGCACAGCGACCGTGTCTTCAAGACCAGGGCTGAGACCGGCTCCCTTTCAGCAGTGGTGGGATTCAAAAAAACTTTACTACCAGTTCTGTTGGCGTGGCGTGGCGTGGCTTGGCGTGCGTGGCAGGGGAAGGTTACTGCAAAATCCCCCTCCCCTCCCCACCCCACTAACCTGCTTTCCAGCTCTGTTCTCCTGTGCAGGGCAACCAAAGGACACGCAGCCAATCAGGTGGGACTCGATGGGAGGCAGAGAATAGATGGGGTTGGTGGGGCCAGGCAGAAGGTGATACTTGCCGGTTCTCCGAACTACTCCAAATTTCCGCTACTGGTTCTCCAGAACTGGTCCGAACCTGCTGAATACCACCTCTGCCTTCCAGATGTGGGGAAAGTCTGCCCGCCATACCAAAAATGAAGAGACCTTCAGATAAGACAAGAAGCCAATGCAGCTGTGAACATCTGGAGGAACAGGGGAAGAAAATTGTCCCTTGCCTGCAGGCAGAAAAAAAGTGACCTTTAGGCGACTCACCATGAAAACTTTGGAAACTACAAGATTTTACTTTGCCTTTTTGGGTGGGTTACTAAGACAGCAGGTGAGACTTACACCCAGCTGTTGTGACAGACACAATCTGGAACAACGGGTCGGAACTTTTGTGATCTTGAGATCTCACAATGACTTTACACAAACACCATATTTTGTTTGGGGCAACAGCATAGAAATGGTTTTCCAGTGCCTGCGTTCTGAGATTTCACGTTCCCATCCCATTGTCACTCTGGACTGAAATCAGAATCCAAGATGGGGCAGGACCTGAATTACAAAAGCTCTTGGATCTGCTGCTAATGTCAAAATCCCTCTGGATTAAAACTGCTGAGATCAAGAGGAGTTACAAGAATTATTTTGTTGACCTCAACTGGTGCAGACTTAAACTGTGGTGCCCAAACCCCCAGGGCTGATGCAATCTGCTAAAATAAGATATCTCATCCAACCTTCAGATTTCTGGATACAGGAATATATTGACGGGTTCCTTGAATTAACTGTAAAACCAATGGACACATTTTCACTGGGATTTCCAGGTTCCTTGAAGACATAAGAAGTTTGGGACTTCTTATGACGTAGTTTTCTTGCAAGTTAATCTCTTCCTGGTGCAATATTTTATTTATTGTTGTGAATTAAAAATGGTGGTCTCTGCAGCTTTTGTGGGCACAGTGCAATTATTGCCTAGATAACTCAACTGGAGATCCTGTGTTTACTTGGATTGGAGTGGATTTGGGGTAGGTGATGGCTGGGGAATTCTGGGAGCTGAAGTCCATTGCTCTAAAGTTTATCAATTATTACAAGTGTTTTGGAACCTTTACCCAATTAAGTTACATTTAGAGTTACTTAAAAGCGGCTTAGTTTTAATGCAAACCGAAGAGTTAATGCCAGAAACAGAATCAATAAGGATATTTGCTTGTTCACCATAATAAATTTTGGTCAACTTTTGGTCAACATTATATAAAATGTTGGTCAATCAACGAGAATTGGATAAAGTTTTACAGAGGTCAGAGAGAAAAATGATTACCAAAATGTACAAGTATTTGTTCAGATATAAATTGGAAGAAGAAATTGTGAAGGAAACAATGATAACCTGGGCCAAAATTTTTGGATACAGTATTAATTTGGAAGATTGGGAAAAATCTGTGGAAAATAAATTATAAATTAACTCTGTCAGCAACTTATAAGGAGAACTTATATAAAACATTTTATTGCTGGCAATTACCACCAGAGAGACTTGCAAAAATGTTTCCCAATAATTCGGCAGGCTGTTAGAAATGTGGCTATGAGCAGGGAACCAACTGTGGTATGTGGTGGAGCTGCCCCAAAGCAAAAAAATATTGGTGGAAAATTAGAAATTGGCTAGAAGAAATTCCAAATGTTAAAATTGAATTGAAACCAGAGATATGTTTATTAGGAATTTTAAAGCAAAAAATTAGTAAAAAAATATTATATATTATACTCCATATATTAACAGCAGCAATGCTTGCCTTTGCACAAAATTGGAAATGCGAAAATACTGCTCCCGATGTTATGATTATAAAGAAAATTTTGGAATGCGCAGAAATGGATAGGTTGTCAATGGAACTTAAAAACAAAGAGGAGTTAGAGTACTATGAGATTTGGAATTTATGGTACAGTTGGTTGGAAGGTAGACATGAAATGAACAAAAGAAAGTCAAATAAGAAGTTATGATGGAAATTAGTAATATCACATGCAATCAGATATACATTTGTAATATATAACTAGATGAAGCTTTGTGTTATATATTCATGTAATAAGTGTGAATGATTATTTTACATAATTTGAGAGATATCAGATTGAGTGAACACTACCATGCTCACATTGTGATAAGCAGAAAGTTTGGTTTTATTGTATTTGTATAAAGTTGCTCAATAAAGTATTTTTCTCATTAAAAGTAAAATAAAATGTCGGTCAACTTGGTCAGATGCTTAATCTGAGGTTTAGGTTCACCTATCCCAGTAGGATCAGTTGATTTATTACCCACAGTCATTTATAAATCCCAGTTATTATGGCAGGTAGAATGGAGATTTTTGAATAACAGAGTAACAGAGTTAGAAGGATCCTGGAGCTCTTCTAGTGAATCTAGAACCCCACAACTTCTGGTGGCAAGACATCCCACTGATTAATTGTTCTCCATGTCAGGAAATTCCTCCTTAGTTCTAGGTTGCTTCTCTCCTTGATTAGTTTCTGTCCATTGCTTCTTGTCCTGCCCTCAGGGGCTTTGGAGAATAGCTTGACTCCCTCTTCTCTGTGGCAGCCCCTCAAATAATCTTTTATTTCAAAATAAAATTTCCTGAGGAAAGATACTAGATCCCCCACCCACCCCCCAAAAAACCATCAGACTTCAAATAAGACTAGCTGTCAACTCATAAAAAATTTCTGTGCCCATTTTATAGTTGCCAACAAAAAGAAAGAACGGTGCAACAGTTAGGAAACAAAAGTGCATTCCATTCATATCTTGCAGAGATTGTAACTAGGCGACTGAAGTTTCTGCTGCAGCAAATCTCTAATTGGAGAACATGATTGATGACTCTTGGCTATGGACGTGTTTCATTGGAGAATATGAATTATGATACACCCAGAGGGGTGGGGGTGGGGAAACCAGGGTCAAGGATGACAGTGAATTACGTGTCTCAGAATTGGGGGGAGGGGGGGCGCACAGGTCATACAGGTCATGTTAGCTCCTAATAAATCCTCTGGAGTTTTTGAAGCTTGGCTCCAAGCTCATGATTTACAGTAATTAGGGCCACTGCTGGAATCCTGACACTAGCTAGTGGGGGAAAAAGTGTTTCCAGACTCCTGATTTTTTTTAAAAAAAATCATGGTAGGTAGACTAACACGGATCTCCTCCGACAATGACTCGATACCAAACTAACCCAACATTTAAGAAACAAGGTTCTAAGCGTACGAAGTTAAGATAATAATAAGCTTATGACTAACTCCAAAGACAATGCTAGATAAGAACGACAAAGGACATAATAAAATGATCTCTTTGTTTGGCAAGATCTGGAGATTGCCACAATCAGGACTCTGGGACCGTAGATGCCATCGTTCAAGGCAGTTCAAAGGTTCCATGATATCAGCCAGATTAATCACTCATCAAGAGACCATAGGTGTATCTGCATTCTTCGGAAAGGACTTTGGAAGAGGAACAAGAGATAAGAAAGGCAGGAATCAAAAGTCGATTTTTTCAAAGTACAGGCTGAACGGGAGTGTCCTCTTCCTCTTTTCTTTTTTTTTCAGCCTTCCTTTTATGAAGCAGCAGACCGCCACAGAAGGCAAATTTAAAAAATCAGAAAGTATTACACAAAATAACCCATGCTGTCAGGATTCCAGCAATCGCCCTCATTGAATAATGATTCTCGAGCCAAAGTTCAAAAAACTTCAAAGGATTTACTAGATACAACAGTGGTGGGACTCACCTCTGGGGGGAGGGATGAGTCTGCCTAGCGAGATGAGGTGGACCAATGTTTGCTTTCATGGTGTGGAGACCATAACTTGGTCCTCAACACCGATAAGACCAAGGAGCTCATAGTGGACTATAGAAGGAGCAGATCAGGCCTCCAGCCCTGGCTTCTCAATGGAGACCGAGTGGAGCAAGTGGCCAATTTTAAGTTTCTGGGTGTTATCCTAAAAGAGGACCTGACCTGGGGTGCCCACATTGCAGCCCTGGTCAAAAGGGCCCAGCAGAGATTAGACTACCTGAGGTTTCTCAGGAAATGACAACTGGATGAAAAACTGTTGGTGACCTTCTACCGCTGCACCAGAGAGAGTATCTTAACTTACTACACCCCTGTGTAGGGTTTGCCACTTGCACAGGGGCAGATAGGACAGCACTCCAAAGGGTGAACATCATTGCCCAGAGGATCCTGGGTTGTCCTCTCCCCTCTTTGGAAGAGCTTTACAGCTCCCGCTGCCTTAAGAAAGTTCAAAACATTCTCCAAGATCCATCTCATCCAGGTCTCCCTTTTTTTTGAACTATTACCATCTGGAAGACGGTACAGGACAATAATAAAAACAAGGACAAATAGTCTGAAAAACAGCTTCTATCCCAGGGCAGTAACTCTATTGAATTCTACTGTATAGTGCAATAATAATGCAATATCAGGGGTTTTCAATTCAATGTAGAGAATGCGAAGGAGGTGTGTTTGTGTTTTATTTTTATAGTTACAATGCGCGCTGAAGATGACATTTAGTTTCGTTGTACAATGTGCAATGACAATAAAGTTAACTAACAACTAGAGGTGACATCCTGGCACTGCCCTGTATGGAGCCAACTCTGGCATACGTAATTTGCAGTCCCCTGTAATCCTGTTTCCCCCCCTCCCCCCCGGGTATGTCATAAATCAGATTCTCCAACTGAGCACCTTCACAGTCTGGGTGTCCTCATTCATGTTCTCCCATGAAATATATCGGTGGGCAAAAACTCTGGTATTTCAGTTATAATC